AAGCACAAGGACCCAAGTTCTATCTCTGATACCAAATAAATAAATAAATAAATAAATAAAAATAAAAAGTAAATCAAATCATAATCTCCTAATAGCAAAAAATAAAGTTACCTGCTTTTCCTTTCAGATCCTTTAAACCTTGGGAATTACTCAAATTAAACACTTCTAAAAGTGAAGGTAAAGATAGAAATAAAATCAGAGAGTTTTGTGGAGAGTCTGTGTAAAATGTAGGTAAAATGCTAGATTCTCTTGCCATACCATGCTTCCTGAAGAATTCTCCGACACCAGGGTGAGTAAGGTTATTATCAGCAGAAGGCATAAACAGGTCCATAGTAAGGATGATATGTAAGCTGTATTTGTCACATCAGGATAACATAATATGAACCATAGACTGGATGGCTTAAATAAGAAATGTCCATTTTCTCACAGCTATGGAGGCTAGACATTTGTGGCCAAGATGCCATTCAATTAGTTTCTGGGGAGGGCTATCTTCCGGGCTTGTACGTGGCCATCTTCTCATTATGTCCTCATGTGGCCTGTCTTTTGTATATGGAAGGGGGAAAAGAGACCTCTGATTTCCTTTTCTCATCTTAGAATAAAATAAGCCTTACCAGATTAAGGCTTCACTATTATAAATTCATTTAATCATAATTACCCATTTATAGATGCTATCTCCAAATATATTGACTAGGGAACTAGGACATCAACTTATAAATTTGGAGAGCCATGACTCAGTCCATAACATATACCACAGTAGGAAAAAAAAGTCAAATAAATGGACTGTAATTTAGTTACCAGAACTCATACAGAAGACAGGACAAGTCTCTGTGCTACGTAGACAATTTAAAGTCTTACCTCAGCAGACTGGGGTTGGGGGGATACCCACACAGAAGCCCAATGGGACCTCCTTACAGCAAGCCCCACTTTCTGCACAAAGAACACATTCTTTTTTAATGCATCCATACACATTATACATATGTATTTATAAATCACAAAAATATATTACTTATTCCAAAAAACTTTTCTACAAGCCAAAACCAGTTCTATTTCCTATCAGTTATTGTTGAGTAATCATTACACTATACTAAAAACGCTATATTCTATGGCACAGAAATAATAGCACATTAAACAATTAAATATAAATCTCTATATTTCAGAATTAGTTCCATTATTGAAGAAATGGGACAGAGGAAAAGCAAGAAGGGAAAAAAAATGAGAAAAGAAGGAAAAAAGGGAAACAAAGTTTTTGTAAATAGGGAGGGGTGGAGGGGTTGAAGAGAAGGGAGAGGAATGGGAAAAATAAGAACCAAGATATATCATGTACAGGTACAAATTCTCAATGATGAATGTGATCATAATGTATACATAAATGTACCAATAAACTTAATGAATAAAAAAAATTTGGTAATGTAGTATTTTGGGGGTAGCACATGAAAGTTGTTGTGTAGGAGCTGAGTGAGGGACTTCTATATGAAGTCCCAAAGTAAGTCTGTGCAGCTCTGGATTCTTGAATCTGGAATCCAGGGAGAGAATCTTTGGCCCAGTAAAAGCCAAAATTGAGGATTTCCTGCATACAGGTTGTTTTTCAGAGCACTTGATCTAGATGTCAGAATTACCTTGAGTGTACATTCTGGTTAAAAAAAAAAAAAAAATCCACTTGAATAGCAAACACTGGATTGCACTTAAAAGTGTGTAAGTAGTTTTTTCATAAAAACTGTCATTTGTGTTCAGTTTTGAAAATCAATTTTGCTCATTCAAATAACTAACATGTAAGCAAATGAAAAAACTGAAAAGCATGTTTGATTAATTTGACCTCAGGATATATAATTTTTTTAGCTCTGAAATTTTTTCATGTTTACAAGGTTTGCTTTTAAAACATAAACTGCATTCTAATCCAATCCTGCTATTTTGTAGTTAATATTTATCATCCTCTAAAGAGGAGTTAGGATATTTATATACAGGCCAGGAAACTAAGGTGATATTAATTAGTGAAATTTATTTATGAAGCCAATAAACCCTGAAGAAAGATTTCCTTTGACTGTTTAAAAGTTTATAGCTCTATTGGAACTTATAAAATGTGCATCTGTTTTCCTGCCCAATAAACATATGCATGTGACATAGAGATAATAGTAATTTCAAAACAGTCACCTCTCATTATCAACTACAATGAAAAAAGTAGAAAGGACTATAAATATTCAGTTTGTTGAGAAAAATAAAAGGAATATACTTTCTTAATATGGAAAGAAAAATATATGTACCTTACCTTTAAGAGTTTTTGTCTGTCTTTCAAAATTCATAAAAAGTCATATAATACATGTACTGGAGTGTTTTCCAAAACCAGCAACCAATTCTGGGCACCAAAAGAGAATGTCCTACAATTCAGATCTGACACTAACTGCCCAGAATCGTTCACTATCTGCACTTAAGGGGCAGCTTCTCTGGACTTCTCTTCTGTACCACACCTATCACAGGTCCCTAGAACCATTCATACTTTTAAGTGACCGTCTGTACATTGATTCTGGTGATCATCTCCTTCAGTTTGATAATTTGCTATAGCATCTCACAGAACTCAAGGAAACACATCACTCACACTGACCACTTTCTAATAAAGGATACAACTCAGCAATGGCTAATGGAAGACAGGCAGACAGCAAGGTCATGTGGGAAGGGGTGACAAGCATGGAGTGTCCTTACATGTCCTCTTACGCATGCCACCCCCTCAGCATATAGATCTGTTCTGCATCTCAGAAGCTCTCTCCATCTCATTGCGCAAGACTTCTTTTTTTATTCATTAAGTTTATTGGTACATTTTAGGTATACAGAACGATAACATTCATCATTGGGAATTTGTACCTTTACATGATATATTTTTGTTCTTATTTTTTCCCCATTCCCCTGTCCTCCCTTCAACCCCTCCACCCCTACCTATTTGCAAAGACTTTTTGTTTCTTCCTTTTCT